GGCAAAAAAAAAAGCAAAAGAAAAAAAAAAAAAGAAAAGGCAAAGCTGTAGCATTTTACAGCAGCCAATCAGGTGCGACACTCCAGTGTCATCAGACTAGGACAGCAATGGGCAAACTACGGCCCGGCGGACCTTTTAATCCGGCCCGCGGAGCTAGGCTCCCGCTAGGTTCCTCTCACAGTCCGCCCTGTTTCCTATGAAGATTTGTCCCCCCTCGACGTATCTGCGCATGTGCCGGAGATCGCCGATCGGCTGCTAATGCCTGAAACTGGCACATGCGCAGATACGTCGAGGGGGACAGATCCTCATAGGAGACAGATTTTCATGCTACACCGGAACGGCGCGGGAACAAGAGGAACGTGCGGAGCAAAGGTAAGTGAATTGACACAGGGGGGACATGGGGAATGAATTACTATAGGGGGGATGAATTACTATATGGGGGATGAATTACTATGGGGGATGAATTACTATAGGGGGATGAATTACTATATGGGGGGATGAATTACTATGTGGTTGAATTACTATGGGGGATGAATTACTATAGGGGGGATGAATTACTATAGGGGGGATGAATTACTATAGGGGGATGAATTACTATATGGGGGGGGGGATGAATTACTATGGGGGATGAATTACTATGGGGGATGAATTACTATATGGGGGATGAATTACTATAGGGGGGATGAATTACTATGGGGGATTAATTACTATATGGGGGATTAATTACTATATGGGGGATGAATTACTATATGGGGGATTAATTACTATGTGGTGGATGAATTACTATATGGGGGATGAATTACTATGGGGGATGAATTACTATGGGGGATGAATTACTATATGGGGGATTAATTACTATGTGGGGGATGAATTACTATGGGGGATGAATTACTATATGGGGGAATTACTATGGGGGATGAATTACTATAGGGGGGATGAATTACTATAGGGGGGATGAATTACTATGTGGTTGAATTACTATGGGGGATGAATTACTATAGGGGGGATGAATTACTATAGGGGGGATGAATTACTATGGGGGATGAATTACTATATGGTGGATGAATTACTATGGGGGATGAATTACTATGGGGGATGAATTACTATGGGGGATGAATTACTATATGGGGGATGAATTACTATAGGGGGGATGAATTACTATGGGGGATTAATTACTATATGGGGGATTAATTACTATATGGGGGATGAATTACTATATGGGGGATTAATTACTATGTGGTGGATGAATTACTATATGGGGGATGAATTACTATGGGGGATGAATTACTATATGGGGGATGAATTACTATATGGGGGATGAATTACTATGGGGGATGAATTACTATATGGGGATTAATTACTATGCTTACTATGGGGGAATATTACTATACTTACTATGGATGACACATACACATCATTCATCTACTCTTGGTCCGGCCCCCGGTCCAATATATGAACCCATTGCGGCCCTCAAGTCAAAAAGTTTGCCCACCCCTGGACTAGGACATGATAACCTGTTATTAAACCCAACAGTTTGGATCATTTTACCGACACAGAACGGAGTATTTCAGACATGTATTTGGCCCATAGCTTACCCACTTCACCTCCAAAATGTTTTACCCCCTTCATGACCAGGACATTTATGCAGCAATTGTGTGGTCATGCAACGCTGTACCCAAATTAAATATATATATTTTTTTTCACACAGATAGAATTTTCTTTTGGTGGTATTTGATCACCACTGGGGTTTTTTTTATTTTTTGTGATCTAAACAAAAAAAAAAAAGGCCAAACATTAAAATCAAAAAGTCAATTCTCGTCATCAATTTAGGCCAAAATGTATTATGCGACATGTCTTTGCTAAAACAAAATCCCATTCGGATGGCTTGGGTTAGGCGCACCGATAACTTTTTTTTTTGTTAACCCCTTGCTCTCCAGAGGATTCCCCCCCCCCCCCTTCCTGACAAGGCCATTTTTTGTTACGGCGCTTCGTTATTTTGACTGATAATTGCGCGGTCATGCAACACTGCACCCGTCCTTTTTTTCCCAAGAATAGAGCTTTCTTTCGGTGGTATTTGATCGCCTCTGCGTTTATTTTTTGCGCAATAAGCAAAAAAAGACTAACAATTTTAAGGAAAAAACTATATTTTGGACTTTTTGCTATTAAACATGTCCAGTAAAATGTTTTTTTTCAAAAATCAAATTTTGTCATAAATTTAGGCCAAAACGTATTCTGCTCCGTGTCTTTGCTAAAAAAAAAAAATCCAAATACGTGTAAATTAATTGGTTTGTGTAAACGTTATCGCGTTTACAAATGGTAGTATATATACTGTAATTTTAATTTTTTTTTTTATACTAGTAATGGCGGCGATCAGCAACTTATGGCAGGACTGCAGTGGGCATTCTGACACTGGGGGGGGGGGGGGGGAAACTGACTTGGTGTCACTGACATCCCAATGACACCAATACAGTGATCGGTACTAATAAAAAGCACTGACACTGTACTAATGACACTGGGCAGGAAGGGGTTAATATGAGGGGGTAATCAAAGGGTTAACTGTGTAGGGAGTGTTTTACGAGGAGGCAGGGGGTGGTGCTTCACTGTAAGCACACTGATCGGGATGGCTGTACTGTACGCCCGAGCTGACAAGGAAAGAAGACTGTTTGTATATGCTTTTTACCTTTTAACACCACGGAGCACCACCCCTACACAACATATATGTTAATGGGGGTTCCATAGATGGCACAACACAGCTTCCAAGTTGCTTAGTTCACATCTATCGGTATCACAACTAGTAAAAACCCCACAAAAAACAAACACACATTTGTGACATTGTGAAGCTTTTTTCCTCTCACTTTATTTTGAAGATTGCTTAACTCTGGGGTACATGACACAAAAATAAGAACTCAAAGCAGGAAGGAAACCAGACAGATGACATGAAAAAGAAGAGTGGAGAAAAGAATGGAAACAATAGCAAACCACCCAACAGAGGTCCACCTATAACAACCTCATTAAGGCAGGACACAATTATCTGTGAATGTTGTGAACAGAAAACACACAAATGTTCTGCACTGCAAACGCTGCAGGAATATAAATTAACATTTAATAAACCATCAATAAAATATTTGTGTCACCGATATACATTCATCCACCGGCCGTCCGTTCAGAGGGAAAACCGTTCCTGTAATGTCACATTCGTAACCATCAGCCTTTACACTGTGATGTCAGGAGCGCAGGGTGCAAACTATTCGTGGATTCAATGTAATGAAACAAGAGAGTCTGCCGGACAGCCAGGCAACAAGCATTTTCAAGAGGAGGGGAGCACTGACTCAACCTGTGGGCATCAATGGTACACAAATATTCGGCCTCAGCCGCTGACCCGTGACGCCGAATATTTTTGTGTGCCAAACGTAAACAGACATGCTGAGAGTGTGCGCCCTGCGTGCTCCCGGAAAGGTCCCGAGTGCCACCTTTCTGATCATGTGACCAGACAGCCAAGATAAGACGATCCTGCGCTTTCTTAAAAAAAAAAAAAAAAAAAAAAAGCTGTAGGAGTAAGTGGGTGCTGAAGCGACCAATGGCTGGAACCGAAAACACTCAGGTGGGAAGAACGTCACCAGCACACATGCCTGATGAAGGGGCCCTGCGAGACTCCAAACGTCACTCTTGCTGGAACTGGGAGATTGCTTATTAAAGCTTTGGACACATAACTGGAGATTCTCGTTGTGACATCAGAGTTCAGTCCATCACTCAGGGAGGGGACACCATCAGAGGGGGATGTGGAAGGTGGGGGACCCCCCATGACATCACTCAGGGCAGAGACACCATCACAGGGGGATGTGGAAGGTTGGGGACCCCCCCCCCCATGACATCACTCAGGGCAGAGACACCATCACAGGGGGATGTGGAATGTTGGGCCCCCCCCATGACATCACTCAGGGCAGAGTCACCATCAGAGGGGATGTGGAATGTTGGGCCCCCCCCATGACATCACTCAGCAGGCAGAGACACCATCACAGGGGGATGTGGAAGGTTGGGGACCCCCCCCCATGACATCACTCAGGGCAGAGACACCATCACAGGGGGATGTGGAAGGTTGGGGACCCCCTGCGACATCACTCGTGGGGGGCAAGGACATCATTACAGGGGAATGTGGAATGTTGGTGCCCCCACGTGACATCACTCAAGGTGGGGGGCAGGGACACCATCAGAGGGGGATGTGGAATGTTGGGTGCCCCCCCATGACATCACTCAGGGTGGCACGCGGACACCATCAGAAGGGGATGTGGAATGTTGGGGCCCCTCCTGTTACATCAGGTCAGTCCATCACTCACGGTGGGGTCACCATCAGAGAGGAATGTTGGGACCCCCATGACATCACTCAGGGTGAGGGTGGGGACACCATCAGAGGGGGATGTGGAAGGTTGGGGCCCCACCTGTGACATGACATCACTCAGGGTGGGGGATGGGTACACCATCAGAGGGCGATGTGGAAGGTTGGGGCCCCACCTGTGACATCACTCAGGGTAGGGGCGGGGACACCATCAGAGGGGGATGTGGAAGGTTGGGGCCCCACCTGTGACATCACTCAGGGTGGGGGGCGGGGACACCATCAGAAGGGCAGTTGGAATATTTAGCTGTGGAGTCACGTGGGGACAACAGTCATGTGACTTCCTCGCGGCGCAAGTGTCAGAGCGAGTCTCCACCCCCAGCCGGTCACTCAGTCCGCCCCTTGACGTCACCCCGCTCCTCCCCCAGGCAGGCCCTCTTGCTGGGCTCCTCCCTCTCGGGTCCCGCCCTCTTGTGTGTGGCTCCCCCGGCATGCTTGTCGGTCCAGCTCCGGGCGGTAGCGGTGTAGGTGACTCGGTGGTACTTGTACTCCCGGGCGATGTCGGCCATCAGCGGGTCCTCGGGGTTGGGCTCACTCATCAGGAGCTGGATGGAGGTGAGGACGGAGGAGAGGCTCAGCGCCGGTCTCCAGGCGCCCTTCGGCGGCGGCTTTAGGATGTCCAGGCAGATGCGTCCGGCCGAGTCGATGTTCGGGTGGTAGATGGGGGTGACGAAGTGCACCCGGGGCGGCTCGAACGGGTAGCGCTCCGGCACGGCGATCTCCAGGCTGAACACTCCGCCCTCGTACGGGGACCCGGCGGAACCCACCACCTGAGCCCGGAGCTCATCTATCCGGTCCCCCGACTGCCAGCAGCTGACGCCCGAGGGCGGCTCGGTGCTGAGGAGCTGGAGCTCCCGTTTCAGACGAGACTGCCGCTGCATCTCCGGTCCGGACACTGCCTTCAGGAGAACCGAGCTTCGGGGATCGCGCCTGGCGGGACAGCCAATCCGAGCGGGGGTGTTTGACGAAGAGGCCAATCAGCGGGGACAGATGGCCGGAGAGGCCAATGAACGGGGCATGTGACCGAAGCGGCCAATCAGAGCGAAGCATGTGCCCGGAGCGTCCAATAAGTGAAGAGCGGAATATAACCGGAGCGGCCACTCATAATGTGCGCATGCGACCATGTGATTCCCCTCCCGCCAAAACTGTAACCAGTGTATCTCGCGCAACCCGCTCTGCTCTGGAGCTTGTCGCGCGGGAAATGCTGATTACAGTTTTGGCGGGAGGAGAATTGCATGACGCCTCCCTAGTTACCTGAGCCGCTCCCTTTTTCCATAGTGACAGAGTGAACAGAGTGTGTGCAGTGATCATAAAGTTTTTTTTATATGACCATAACGAGATCACACTGCAACAGCAGGCTGCCCTGCCCAGTGGGGCCCCCAGTTATAAGCAGTAGCCTGCCCTAGGGCCCAGTTATGAAGCGGCCTGCCCTGGGGCCCAGTTATAAAGCAGCAGGCTGCCCTGGGGCCCAGTTATAAAGCGGCAGGCTGCCCTGGGGCCCAGTTATAAAGCGGCAGGCTGCCCTGGGGCCCAGCGGCAGGCTGCCCTGGGGCCCAGTTATGAAGCGGCAGGCTGCCCTGGGGCCCATTATGAAGCGGCAGGCTGCCCTGGGGCCCAGTTATGAAGCGGCAGGCTGCCCTGGGGCCCAGTTATGAAGCGGCAGGCTGCCCTGGGGCCCTGTTATGAAGTGCCCTGGGGCCCAGTTATAAGCGGCAGCTGCCCTGGGGCCCAGTTATAAAGCGGCAGGCTGCTCTGGGGCCCTGTTATGAAGCGGCAGGCCCCTGGGGCCCAGTTATAAAGCGGCAGCCTGCCCTGGGGCCCAGTTATGAAGCGGCAGCGGCAGTTATGAAGCGGCAGGCTGCCCTGGGGCCCAGTTATGACGCGGCAGGCTGCCCTGGGCTCATTCCCATCTTCCATGTGTTGCTGGCTCCCTGGACAATCCATCCCTGGAATGATCTGCCAGTGCAGTGGAGTACACACACATGACAATATATGTTTCCCTGACAACATACAGGTAGCACGTGTTACACTACAGCACACGTCTATAGGAGATGTGTTGGGGTGTCATAAAAAGTTGCACATCAACTACAGGCTCGTTCTTCCCATTTGGTTGGGTGCATTTACTGCCCCCCTAACTGCTGCCCCCTTTAGCTACAAAGGTAGCAGCCAGGGGTGTGGCAGTGATGCATTGCTTTGCAGCAAGATTTCTACCCCCTGCCACTCCCCCGCGCCTGCCAAACGCAACCCATACAAATAAACAGCTGCTCTGTAAGCACCCCGCAACCACGTGCAATGCATGCCGTGACAATAGGGCCTAGGTGTCCATACCGGACAATCCATCCTCATTGCTGCTCAGTATCATTATCCTGTATACACAGCGCAGCATTACTGATCTGGTTGCTAGGCCACTGGCGGCGGTTAGGCACACAGCACCATTGGTTGTTATGGCGGCAAAGTCGTCTGCCTTAGACAACACTAATCCATAGTGGAAATCAGTCCTCGCTGCAAAGGCTTGGTAACATTTTGCTTTGTATACACAGCATAAAGGTGTTACTAAGCTGGTTGCTAGGACACTGGCAGTGAAGCCATGGAACATCATTAGTTGTTTGCTAGGGTGGCAAAACTGTACACCTCAGGTGACACTAAGGCCGGGGTGTTCATACCGGACAATCCACCCTCATTGCTGCTCAGTATCATTATTCTGTATTCACAGCGCAGCATTACTGAACTGGTTGCTAGGCTGCTGGCGGCTAGGCACACAGCGCCATTGGTTGTTATGGCAGAAAACCATCCACCTCAGGCAACACTAGGGCCGGAGTTCCATAGTGGACAATCTGTCCTCGCTGCAACTCTGTAAAATTACCCTGTATACACAATGCAGTGTTGCTAAGCCGGTTGCTAGGAGACTGGCAGCTGAACCACGCAGTTTCATTGGTTGTTATGGTGGCAAAACCACCCACCTCAGATGACACTAAGGCCGAGGTGTCCATACTGGACAAGCTATCCTCATTGCTGCTCAGTATCATTATCCTGTATACACAGCGCAGCATTACTGAACTGGTTGCTAGGCCACTGGCGGCTAGGCACACAGCATCATTGGTTGTTATGGCGGCAAAGCTGTCTGCCTCAGGCAACACATCCATAGTGGAAATCAGTCCTCGCTGCAACTCGGTAACATTACCTTTGTATACACAGTAAGGCGTTACTAAGCTGGTTGCTAGGACACTGGTAGCGGAGCCATGCAGCTTCATTGGCTGTTATGGTGCAAACCGCTCACCTCAGGTGACACTAAGGGCGGGGTGTCCATACTGGACAATCCATCCTCATTGCTGCTCAGTAACATTACCCTCCCCACCCGCCGGTCCCCACTGCACTTCCTTTCAGGGGTTGCCAAACTGTCAGCACCCCCGCAGCAGCTCCAGCAATCCAGGGATTTGAAATCCTGGCTCTTCCCCAAGCAGTGCTTCCAGGATCGACCAGATTGATTCTGATTGGCCAGCCCCGTCGCAGTGAATTGATCTTGTCCATCCCGGAAGTAGAAGAGAGAGAATATCAAATCCCTGGAAATCTAGAACGGTTTTGGGGGTGCTGACAGCTTGGCAACCCCCGAAGGTAAGTACAGCCAGGACCTAGGGGGGTTGGGGAGGGTATCCAGTGTTCACATTTACATTTTTTTTTTTTCTGTACGGGTAAACTAACCCTTTAAAGTGGTTGTAAAGTAACTGGCCTCAGGTGATACACATCAATGAAACAAATCCTCCTACATAAGTTGTACCTGTTTATCTGCAATCTTCTTTACAGCCATTCAAAGAGCAGACTTTATAAAGCTTGTCTGAGGGTTCAGAAAAAAGAGGGTGGGGAGCTGAAGTTATGCAGGCCATAGACGGGTTGTTTATTGGCCGAATTTTCGTCCGCATGAAAAATCGGCCGATAATCACGACGTTAGTGGGGCCAGCCCAGCGGCCGTTTTTTTCGTCGATCTCATTTATTTTTATTGGTCATGTTGGAAAATCCACGAAAAACGGCTTTTCGTGGACATTGGTGGCAGCATCACTGCCAGCAACGACCGATTTTTCGTATGGCCTGCCTTACACTTTGCAGAGCTCAGCTCTGAAAGCTGATTGGAAGGAAAGGGACACACCCCCTCCACACAGCCCTGAGGCTGTCAATCTGCTGGAGGTCCCTCCCCTGTCACCATTATTCTCTTGGTGTCAGGAAAACCTGTCAGTAGTGATAGCAGAGGAAGGAGGCAGCAGCCAGAAATGACAGGTAGTGCTCTGGACTGAGACAAGTGCACACTATAGAGGGATATGCTTTGTTCATATTTCATGTCTTTTAATAAAAGTTGTTCCTTTATAACCCCAAATAGCTTTTTTTTTTTTCATTTTTTTTCATATATTTAAAAAAGCCTTTTTTTCATTTTAAATAACTTGACGCCATACTTTGTACTAGAAATATTTTTTATATCAGCCACAAAGGCAGTCAGTCAGTGAGGGGTCTGTGTGTCACCGATGGTCCCACGCGGTGGACTCTTGCCGCTGGTCCTGGGAACACGTCATACAATTGGGCCGAGTGCGGTTAGTTCGGAGCACGTTCTCGGTCCTTCAGGTCTTCAATGAGCGGCTTGTTGTTTTTTAGTAGACAGTTGTATAATCGGTCCTTGTGGTTGTCCCCCCAGCCTCGCATGTAGCTGTACAGCTCCCTCATCTTCTCCTGCGACGTCCTCTGGCACCGCACGCGGTCGTACTGTTCGTGGTTCAGCAGATTCTCTTCTAGAAGACCATCTAAGACTCCCTCCACGATGTACATCCGACTGATCAGAGCCTCCCGATGTCTGTCCACAAAGTGCCTGCCGTCTGTGAATGGAGGGAGAGCGGCAGTGCTGACATTAAAGGAGAACTCCACTGTTCAACTTTTCATAGGACGGTGATCACAGCTACGCCCACCATACCTTTCTATGTAGCTTCAGCCGGAACGCGGGGGAATGCAGTTCCGGCACCTCCATCACTATATCTATGTAATGGCAAGGGCTGCTGGGGTGTGATGGAGGGTCTATTAATCCTGGCTTTTTGGGTTCTATTGTCCCTGTTGGGGATCTATTGTTGCTGTGGGGGGGGTTCAGTTGTTGCTGCGAGGGTTCTACTTTTGAGGGAGTAATCCATTGTTTCCGACTGCTGGAGGGTCTATTGATGCTGGCTGATGAGGGATCTATTGTTGCTGGTGGGGGTTTATTGTTGCTGGAGGGATATTTTGTTGCAAGGGGATCTACTGTTGCCGAAAGGGTCTATTGTTGCAGAGAGGTCTATTGTTGCTGAGAGGTCTATTGTTGCTGATCTAGGGTCTATTGTTGCATGGGGATCTATTGTCACTGGGGGAGATATTGTTACAAGGGGATCTACTGTTGCTGGGAGGATCTATTGTTGCTGGGATGGTCTTGTTACAGAGGGATCTATTGTTGCTAGGATGGTCTATTGTTGAAGGGGGATCTCTTGTTGCTGTGGAAGCTATTGTTGCTGGGAGGTCCTAGTGTTACTGAGAGATCTATTGTTGCAGGGGGAGATATTGTTGCTGAGGGATTGTTTTTTGCTGGGAGGGTCTTTTGTTGCAGGGGGAGATATTGTTGCTGAGGGATCTATTGTTGCTGAGAGGGTCTTGTTACAGAGTGATCTATTGTTGCAGAGGAATCTATTGCTGCTGGTAGGGTCTATGGTTGCTAGGATGGTCTATTGTTGCTAGGAGGGTCTATTGTTGCTGGGGGAGATATTGTTGCTGAGGGATCTATAGTTACTGGGAGGATCTATTGTTGCTGAGGGATCTATTGTTGCTGGGAGGGTCTATTGCCCCAGGGGGATCTATTATTGCTGGGAGGGTCTATTGTCCCAGGGGGATCTATTGTTGCTGGGAGGGTCTATTGCCCCAGGGGGATCTATTGTTGCTGAGGGATCTATTGTTGCTGGGGGGTCTATTGTTGCTGATGGATCTATTGTTACTGGGAGGGTATGTTGTTGAGATATTTTTGCTAAGGGATCTATTGTTACTGGGAGGCTCTATTGCTGCAGAGAAATCTATTGTTGCTGAGGGATCTATTGTTGCTGGGAGGGTCTATTGGTGCAGGGGGATCTATTGTTGTTGGGGAAATAATTGTTCATGAGGGATCTACTGGGAGGATATGTTGTTGCTGGGGAGATATTTTTGCTAAGGAATCTATTGTTATTGTTGATGAGGGATCTATTGTTGCTGGTGGCTATATTGTTGCTGGGAGGTTCTTTTGTTGCAGGGGGAGATATTGTTGCTGGGAGAGTCTATTGTTGCAGGGGGATCTGTTGTTACTGAGGAAGATATTGTTGCTGAGGGATCTGTTGTTGCAGGAAGGGTCTAATGTTGCTGATGGATCTATTGTTGCTGGGTGACATATTGTTAGTGGCTGTAAGGGATCTATGGTTTCTGGCTGTAGGGGATCACTAACAAACTTCATACACATTACGTAGCACCACAACATGATCCTTGGTTTTACATCCTGTAGAAGGGGCGGTACTTGTAGGTGGGTAGGGGGCAGAAGCAAGGGGCACTGTTGGAAGGTGGGTAGAGGCAGAGACTCGGGGTGACCCAGAAGGTGGGAGTAGCTGCACCGATTTTTTTAAAAAAAATGTTAAAAGGTAGTTGTAATTTTTTTTAAGTCTCACAACATTTGCACAACTGGTTTTGTTTCCAAATTTATTACAGCTCATCAGTGAAGCCAACATTCACATTTGTCTGTTGCAAGAATGTGCGCAAATCCACGCTTTCCAGCAACGCACACAGATCTGCGGCTCTTTTGTAGGCGTATGGCCGCAGCATTCACTCTTATACAGGCCATACGTGGTTCCAACTCCCAACAATTTTTCATCCGAAAATCGGAAACGTCGTTGGCTCGGTAATCCGATGGCGCCATCATTGATTTTGATTATCGACTGACCGAGTCATAAAGTTCTCCCCATATAACCGGCGACATTTCTGTTCCTTCCAGGTCGCGGCTCATGGCGCATATTCTTTTCGGAAAAACGATTGTACGATTTGACCATCATGGAGTCGAAAATCGGTCATTTTTCATGGATTTTCCAACATGCCCGATCACCGAAAAGGGGGGGAACCACGAAAATCGTCCGGAGCCATTTTTTGGGAGTATAATTTTGCTTAAAAACGCAAACGCTGAAAAACACTAAAACTAAAAAAAACGCTGAAAAAAGCTAATAAAAAAAAAAGCAACAAAACGCAGTTTTTAATGCAATGTTCTACAGCTAGCGCTACTGTCGTTTTAAAAAACCCCAAAATAGGGTTTCAAGAGGAGTTTTAGCTGTAAAAATGCTCTAACGCCGATAAAAGCTGAAGATCGCTGAAAAACATTGTCAAAAGTTGAAAAACTCTAAAAAAAAAAAAAAAAACTGTGGCTTTGCGGCGTTTTTGATTGTTCTTGAGCCTGAAGATTTTGTGTGAGTATAATTTTGCTTAAAAATGCAAACACTAAAAAACGCTAAAAAAACCTAATTAAAAAACGTGACAAAACGCACGTTTTTAATGCAATATTCTACAGCTAACGCTACTGCCGTTTTTAAAAACCCAGAAAAAGGGTTTCAAGAGGAGATTTTTTTAGCTGTAAAAATGCTCTAACACCGAGTAAAAGCTAAAAAAAATGCTGAAAACTGCTGATAAAAGTTGAAAAACTCAAAAACACGTGGCTATGCAGCGTTTTTGAGCCTAAAGAGTTTGTGGGAGTATAATTTGGCTTAAAAACGCAAACGCTGAAAAACACTAAAAAACGCTGAAAAAGGCGAATCAAAAAACACGACAAAACGTACGTTTTTTAATGCAATATTCTACAGCTAATGCTACTGACGTTTTTAAAAAAAACGGAAATAGGATTCAAAGGGATGTTTTTTTAGCTGTAAAAATGCTCTAACGCCGATAAAAGCTGAAAAACTTTAAAAAAAAAAAAAGTGGCATTTATGAGCGTTTTTGAGCTTGAAGATTTTGTGGGAGTATAGTTTTGCTTAAAGACGCAAAACGTTACAATTAAAAAACGCAATCTAAAAATGCAACAAAACGCACATTTTTAATGCAATATTCTACAGCTCACGCTACTGCCATTTTTAAAAACCCAGAAATAGGGTTTCAAGGGGAGCTTTTTTTAGCTGTAAAAAACCACTAAAATGCCATAAAAGCTGAAGATTGATGAAAAAAGCTGATAAAAATTGAAAAACTCTTTAAAAAAAAAAGTGGCTACACAGCGTTTTTGATTGTTTTTGAGCCTGAAGAGTTTGTGGGAGTAGAATTTTGCTTTAAAAACGCAAAACGCTGAAAAAAGCGAATTAAAAAATGTGACAAAACGCACATTTTTAATGTAATATTCTACAGCTCACGCTACTGCCATTTTTAAAAACCCAGAAATAGGGTTTCAAGGGGAGCTTTTTTTAGCTGTAAAAAACACTAAAATGCCAATAAAAGCTGAAGATTGATGAAAAACGCTGATAAAAATTGAAAAACTCTTAAAAAAAAAAAAAAAAAAGTGGCTATACAGCGTTTTTGATTGTTTTTGAGCCTGAAGAGTTTGTGGGAGTAGAATTTTGCTTAAAAACGCAAAAACGCTGAAAAAAGCTAATTAAAAAATGTGACAAAATGCACATTTTTAATGTAATATTCTACAGGTAATGCTATTGCCGTTTTAAAAACCCAAGAGGAGTTTTTTTAGCTGTAAAAATGCTCTAACGCCGATTAAAAGCTGAAAACCACTGATAAAAGTTGAAAAACTCTAAAAAAAAAATGTGGCTATGCGGCGTTTATGAGCATTTTTGTATAATTTTGCTTAAAGACGCAAACGTTGAAAGACTCTAAAAAGCACTGAAAAAATTAAAAAAACACGTATTTAATGCAATATTCTACAGCTAACACTACTGCCATTTTTAAAAACCCAGAAATAGAGTTTCAAGAGGAGTTGTTTTAGCTGTAAAAATGCTCTAACGCCGATTAAAAGCTGAAAAACTCTTAAAAACCGTGGCGTTGTTGAGGGTTTTTGAACCTGAAGATTATGTGGGAGTATAATTTTGCTTAAAGACACAAACACTGAAAAACACTACAAACCGCTGAAAAAAACGAATGAAAATGCGACAAAACGCACGTTTTTCATGCAATATTCTACAGCTCACGCTACTGCCGTTTTTTCTAGAGCAGTTGTTTTAGCTGCCGATTAAAAGATGAAAACCGCTGATAACAGTTGGAAAACTCTAAAAAACGTGGCTATGTGGCGTTTTTGAGTGTTTTTGAGCCTGAAGATTTTGTGGGGGGTATATAATTTTGCTTAAAGACGTAAATGCTGAAAAACACTAAAAAAAATGCTGAAAAAAGCTAATGCAAAAACGCAAAAAAACTCATTTTTTAATTGCAGCATTCTAAGCTCACGCTACTGGCGTTTTTATAGCGTTTTTATAATGTGCGTGAGGCCTAATGGGGGGACAAAACACGCGTTTCTCTTTGAAGAACCGAGGCCGGCGATCACTAACGTTTCATTTCCACATGCGGTTCTGTGAAGACACCCTGGTAGGAAGTGTCATCCGCCGGGGGAACAAAGCCAGGTCTGCCTAACTGACCTATCAGAACCTTTCATTGAAGTCTAGTACTTAAAGGGGGAATCCCTTGCAGGCGTCCCTTGTACTTACCAGCCATGACCGGGGATCTGTCCCGTGATCAGGATCTCGGCGCGTAAAGCTGAATACGTCTGTATAAGGAAGTGAAAATCTCATGTAGGAAACTGAAAGTAACATTGTGCTGACATGACGGGAAGGTCTGGTAAC